TATCATTTATTAAATGGTCATTTATATATATATATATATATATATATTATATGTAATATATATATATTATAAATTCAAAGCAAATCATAAAAACTAGAGATGACCAACATAATACAATTTTGAATGTACTTTTAATGTATACATGAATTAATCTGTGTAATTGTTCAGCTCAACAAGTCATGATGCAGTTAACATTACCCGTATTACATCTTGCTCTTAAGGCCAAGCATATAATGGTTGTAAAAGATAAACTTTCAATTGCAATAACAACATAATAGAATGACTACTGAGTAAAATACACAAGCCATTTATCTATTCTAATCTTCCAGTCACAAATTAATGGTAAATTACTTTAATTTTAAAATCTCATGTTACTCTTTTATGAAACAAACATTGCAAAATTCCTTAATTACATAAATTTATCCCTTCAAAGTCTACTTCCTGGGCTGGGAGATGGCTTCGCTGATAAAGCACTTGCCTTCCAAGGACAAAGACCTCAATTTGATTCCCAGACCATATTGTTTTAAGAAAGAGCCAGCTACAATGGTGTAATCCTTAACCCCACAGCAGGGACTATAGAGATAGGAGGACCCTGACACTTGATAGCCAATCATCTAGTTGGGGATCTCTGGACCTATCGAAGATACTGTCTCAGAGGAGGTGGACAGCTATCCTGATCATGGCACCTGAGGTTGTCTTCCGGTCTCTGAATTTGTCTGTAATAATTACTTAATACTTGATTATGTTGGTGTTTATCAATATTTTTTCAGTGTTGGATATGCAAATTTCTAACACTGTGCTCTGAGAATACTCATTTATGAAAATTGTTTTGACATCATAAACTTCCTATTGTGTTGGATTCTCACTTATTTTCCTCACTGGCTTTGATGTGTGTCCTCAAGTGATCTTACCACAGCTACCTGAGCAGCTGGAGCTATAGGTGCAGCCCCAAAGTCCTGCTGGTTAAATTTTTCTTTGAGAAAAATTGCTTCACATAATTTGAACTTTCTGAACCATGTTTTGCATTGCATACTACTTTTGAAAATAGCTGCATTCATATACCTTAGACACCCATTATACACAGTTAATGAATCTAAGAAAAGGATGTGAGAAGCTATTTATAGCTTACTACACTCATAATGATTCATTTTCTGCTTGCACAAAAGTCAGCATTGTAGCAAATTTCTTTATAAAACAAAGCCGCAATATAAAAAGTTTCAAGCATTTGTTTTGAATATACTTAATGAATTTATTATTTGATGACACAGGTTATATAACATCTGCATCTAGCAGATAACAATGATAACACTGAATTCATTGGACTAGTGAATACAGAGCGCGCGCGCGCGCGCGCGCGCACACACACACACACACACACACACACACACACACACACACACATATATATATATATATCATATATCATATATATTCCTATACATCAAGAAAAATGATTTTATGATACAGAAGGACAACTCCTGATTTAAAAACACATCTGGATCTTGGGATGAACAGGCAGAGAAATATCTTCTGGATCTTGTCACACCAGAGACTGTCAGAGCAACTTGGAGACTCAAGTGATGCTTTCTGAGTGAGAATTATGTATTCAAGACAGAGAGTTTTACCAGAGAATCATGTTTCTGGTAAAACTCCTTGCTTAAAACTTCAAACTGTTAGCTTTGACCTTCAAAAATGATTATTGAATGGGTTTCTGTTGCTACTCTAGTTGTTGTTGTGAATTTGGGAGAATGAATCCTAAATATGAGGTGAACTATAGTCTCATATAACAGCCAACTTTATTCAGAGCATCAGACAATTTATACTCTGAGGGTTAAGAAGAATCACATGAGTAAGATGTTACATCACAATGACAAGCCACACATGTCAAAAACATATTTTTCCATAGGGGCATATGAATAGCAACAGCAAAAGTAAACTCACTCCTATCCACTACACCAAGAATCAGCATGGAAATGCATTTCAAGAACAATTCTGTGTTTTTGACAAAACAGAAGTCACAAGACTCTTGTCTTGTTTTCTCACAAGTGCTTTAGAGTCCCCCTCACATGACTCCATTCTTGGACTATGTTCTGACAGATTAGCATGTTCTTGAAAGTGGTTTTAATGCAAAACCTTCTGATTATAACATTTACAGAATGGCAAATCACTTGTTAAGTACTATGTAACAATTTTGAAGAAAATTATGCAGTAGAATTAGCTAACAACGGAGCTTATTTACAAATACATGAGCAGTATTTGCTTAAGTTTATGCAGAGACAGTTGCATAAAATTTTAGTTCATATATTCACTCCTAATTAGGAATTGACCACTTTTTGGTAAAAGGGTTACTTGTGACCATGTAAATTGTCTTACCCAACTCTCATTCCTTTATGGGATGCAGAACACATCCATCTTTAAGATAAGTGACGGAAGCTCGGAGGAATTTTGCAATTGTGCAAAGATATTTGAAAGTAAATTTCAATCTCAGATAAAATGTCAGGTAAGAATTTGAAATTAACATTGTTGCTGTTAGGTCATCTTAACACTCACTCTAATTTAGTGTAATACATACAAAAGTAAAATCCGTGTTGAAAACCACAGGCAAGAAATGAGATAATGTCACAAATAACTTTATTGACTTTGGATGTTAGTTTACATATACATATTTAAATCCACACTGTGGATAATTACGAATAAGTGTTACACTGAGAATTTTATCAAGATTTATGATATATCTCATGTGATAGTATATATATATATATATATATATATATATATATATAATGCATGTGAGTTAACTGAAAAATACAGTTTTAATTTGAAGGTATGATGGTATTTTTAAATTATATTGAATATTGTTAATTCCCATTCATCTATTTATCATACTGCTGATACTAATATTTATTCATTTGGATGTGTGTACAAGTGATTGCTTGTTGGTGTTGTGTGTGTACATATGTGTTTGTGTATATGCAAGTTTGTATGTGTGTATGTGTGTGGTGTTTATGTGTTTGAATGTGTATGCATAGATATGGGGTATGTATATGTATAATATGTGAATGTTTATGTAAGAAAGAGAGGACAAGCATACTTCTACCAATGTTTCTGAAAACATGTATTCTAAATAAAATTTGAATAGATTTATATGCTATTTAAAATTTTTCATTAAGATAGAAAGAAAGTGCACAACTATAGACTTCCTGCTATGCCAGTTGAATTAACTAGTAGAAAACTTGATCAGCCTTTCCATTTCTTTAAAGAATTATCTAATAGTAAGAAATTTTTCATATGGAGTTGGTGTCTTCCTGAGACTTCCACTTTGACTCCAGCTTGGAGCCCACAATTAGTCACCACCTCTTCTAGCCTGATATCCTGTCCTATTTCATACTCCTCTCTTCTTTCTACTCCTTATCCTGCCTCCTCTTATTTATTTGTGGGTGCTTTTTGATCTCTCTTTACTTTCTCCATTCTTCCTTTCAACACTTTCAGAAGAGACTTAAAGAAGTTATAAGAAAAGTTTAAAAAAAGCATAGTCAACAACACATTGAATTGTCAATAAACAGCTTAGACTGGGACAATTCTGTCAATTGGAAC